ATCGAGTTACTCAATGAGGTTTCGCGCTTTTGAACTTCTTTCACTCCCTTATTGCTTGAGTCGAGTTCAGTTAACGGTTTTGCATATCATCTACAACGAGCCACGTGGTAGGTGCGCTGAACCAATACAGGAGCCAGATTGGCCTACAGCACGCGTTACTAGACTGCGCACCCATAGAAAATGCCACACGTGAGAAGTACGGTGCATGCCTAGGCGCAGGCACCCGCCCCGCTAACCACCTGCACCCAATCCCCGCACCAGATGATTGATCGTCTCGAGCAGTGGGCTGGTGTCTGAAAGGGGAAAAAGAGAACAAGGTCTACTGCGGAGACTGCGTCCTCACGGCACTCAGCGCATATTCGTCGCTTTATACAATCGGGCTCGCTATTAAACTACCTGGGTGCACTTAAAGCCCTGGCTTAGAAAGCCGCCCACCGATGAGGAAACGCGGTCCTCCTCTCAGGACAAAAAATCAGTGGCTGCAATGACTCTTTCCTGATGTGGCCGGTATCGACACGCAGTGAGTAAGGATCGGAGTCGTTCCAGTTTTCTGTGAGAACCTGGTCCATCGCTCGCGGAACAGGCAAGTGGGCCTCGCGTAGACCGACTGTTTAGCTGTGTCAGCCATTGCGACCAATCCGCCTTCCCGGTCATTTTGACTCTATCTTGACACCGGCCTCAGGTGTGTGTGGGGTAGATGCAGCACAAATCCATTACCTTTGTAACCTGATTTATAGGCAAGTCGCCCTCTCAGCGCCGGCCCTGCTGCAGGGTACAGGGTAAACATCGTCGGAAGCGACGGTCGATCTGTCGTAGTAGTTTTGGATTCAGTTTGTTGAAATGTAGTTGTACGAATACTGATTTTGATATATAATACTAGAAAGCGTGCGAGATTCCCTATATTCAGCATAGAACAGAGCCGCCTCGGTCGTTTTTCACACGCTACTGGCCTTTTTTAGATTATTTTCATGATAGACCTTGGTAATCAATACCGGAGCTCATAATTTTCTCTATGCTTATTTCCAGAGCGGTCTGCTTTATAACTGGACCTTGTAATGCGTCAATGCCTTACACTTGCCTTGACACATTAGCTAAAGTATGTCCTTAGGTTATCGCGGAACAATCGCCCGTTCTCACATTTAATGTATTGTCCGTGAACCAAGTCAGACCCGTACGCGCCACACCTCATTCTGCCTCTTCCGTTGATAAGGGCAGGAATTCGCTTCAGGCGGTACATGGCACTTTCGATCGACAAAGCCACTTGCTGGAAGAGTGCAAATTTAATACCCGGCTCCTGTTTGTCTAATTTTTGGTTCTATTTCATCTTGCTTAGCTTATCAATCCGGCCATTTTTGGACAGTTCGAAATCGCTAAATAATACTTTGCATCTGGACAGCGCTCTTGTATCTAATCGTGCAGCTTTTTAGTCAGCCCCTTTTTATTCGGCATTAACCAAGGCTTTCATTTCATGTTTTTCTTCGGCGGACTCATCTCCACCTCCCTCTTTTTCAGTCTCACCCTTTTCCGCTCTCCTTTATCAGGCAGTTAATCAGATCGAGAATGTACAGAGTTGGCTGAATCGAGAACTCGCCTCAGAGGAAACTGCCAGGGACTGGTTGCCCCCGGAATCAGAGTTGGCTGACTTTGTGAACCGTCTGCTCTATCTACTCTGTCTGCTATCACCCCTCTGCCCGCCCCAGGCGACAGAGAACGTTGAGGAGGTTCGCAGCCAGCACTGGTGGAACACGTTCATGCAGGGATACCAATTCGCTGGTGATTTGGTTGCCACAACCAATTATCCACTTCGTACGTGGTCCAACGCGTCTCCATCTATGTACTCCCTTTTAGCGTTTTGCACTTTTGCCGGATATTACTTGCA